AGAAACAAGCCAAGCTAGGTCCAAGCATTCCTAAGTAAAAATAAGTCTCCTTGTATTTATTTGGGGGCTGGGTGGTGGGTGTCTAAAGAATAAACAAAAACAAAAACAAAAACAAACCACAAAACAACTACAGTGAGCTTTGGGAACCTGGGGCTCTGACAGAAGACTGGACAGCAACGCTGTAAGCTGCAGGCATCAGTTTAATGTATCCAAACTTGGCACTGTTCTGTTTTTTAAATTGCCCCACTAATAAAGTTTTGGTAATATAAAGGCTTATCCCTTTCATTGTACAGTTTCTAATTGAAGGACTCTAAAGAGCAGAACATTATGTTGCCAATAATAAGTATTCCTGTTTGATACCAGGAGGCAGCCATTTCTTCTCTTTGCATAATTTTAAAAGGTTTTTACTTATATGTATGAGCATTTGCCTGAATGTACATCTGTGTTCTTTGTGCATGCTTGGTGTCCATGAAGGTCAGAAGAGGGCATCAGATCCCCTGAAACTGAAGTTTAAGGTAGTTGTGTGTACTGGGAACTAACCTGTAAAGGCAGCTAGTGCCCTAACCTCTGAGCCATCTACCCAGCCCCAAGTAGCCGTTTCTTAAAGGATGCATACTTCAAAATAGAACTAAGATCAAATGTAAACTTGAGCAAAACTAAGGCTGCCTCTCAAGCGAGAGCCAAGGAGAGCCAAGTCACTTACGTGGCCCTGTGTTAACTGAGTGAGCTGAGCCATGGTGAGCTTCACCTGCCCTTGCTGGGGACGAGGGGGTTGTGGGGCTGCAGGCTGTAGAGTTCCAGCTGGTGCTCCTGGACTTAAACCTTTTTGCCCGGGCGCTGAAGAAGCCGTACTTGGAGCAGAAATGGCAGTGGAAACAGGCTGTCCTCGGATGATCTGAGTCACCACTTGTTGGGGAGCACCTGCACAAACAATAAGATACCCTTATTGATCACACGCTCAGCATACTTGGAATTAAAATTGTCTGACACTTCAGATGAATGCAGTTAATTTCAATCTTCAAATAAACATTTGGTTGCCAATAACCCAAGATGAGTTTAAACATAGGACCACAGCCAAAGATTCCTACCGGCTTCCATAGAGTTTAGAAAGAAGAGTCTGGCCAGGCAATATGGCAGGAGCCTTTAATCACAGAATTTGGGAGGCAGAGGCAGGTGGATCTCTGTGAATTTGGGGCCAGCCTGGTCTACAGAGTGAGTTCCTGGGCAGCCAGGGCCACACAGAGAAACCATGTCTCAACAAGACAAAAGGCATTTTCTTAGTTATGTAGTCAATTCTCAAGTGAAATGGCTCTTGAGCTGCATCTATCTGGGTGCTTTCCTGGGAATAATGTTCTTTTTTTTCTTAAATTTACTTATTTTTATTTTATGTGCATTGGTGTTCTGCCTGTATGCATGTCTGTGTGAGGATGTCAGATCTTGTAGTTACAGACAGTTGTTAGCTGCCATGTGGGTGCTGGGAATTGAACTCATGACCCCTGGAAGAGCAGTCAGTGTTCTTAACCGCTGAGCCATCTCTCCAGTTCCGGGGAATAATGTTCTTAAGATTGGTGGCCTTATGAGATGATTTAATAATCAGCAAGTTTTCCATTATCGCTCCTCCTAAACTTTCCATTCACTTAAGATGACCCCCAAGATTTCACTGTGACATGAGAGCTTCAGAGGCCTAGGACCATGCCCTACGCACTACCATTTGGGAACAACACACAGAAAGTTACGACTTAAGATTGGTACTGCTAAACCACTACAAAAACACAGAAGAGACTTGTTCTTGGGGCTGGAGAGATGTCAGTGGTTACGAGGACTTGCTGCTCTTGTTGAGGATCAGAGTTCAATTCCTAGCATGTACATGGCAGTTTGCAAATGCCCATAACACCAACTCTAGGGTTATACCTCAGCAGGCACCAGCTATGCCCAGGGTGCACAGACACATATTCAAGCACAACACTAAGACATGTAAAGTGAAATAGATAAATAAATCTAAAAATAGACCGGTTCTGGTCGGTAATATGAGGATCAAGGAGATAATCCACTATATGCATGTTCTCTTTGAAATATCATCAAACCACACATTCAAGCCAGTGTCCTAGCAAATGATTCATCTCTGGAGGCCTTGTTTTTGGATTTTCCCTCAATTTTACACCTTCAATTCCGACCATGCCCTGCTCCTCCCCATGCCAGGGTCCAAAGACAGGGCCTTGCATGCAAAAAACAAAAGGCCTACCATCAAGTACCAGGCCTAAGTAACAGTCTTTGATTCTTAATATCATAGTTTTAACCTGCTTACACTACCTGTGATTAATTCAAGGTCTGACAGCGCCTGACAAAACCTTTGTTGTTCTCTTTACTTTAAGGGTCTGGATGCTATCTTTTACATGTATTAGAGGTTTCCCTTGTTCGCTTTGTAAGTAAACTTGAAGTCACTTTTCCTCTTCTTGGCAGGGAAGAGAATAAGAAGGATCATGATATCCCACCATGAACACAGATCCTGCTTATTACTTAGTATTACCGTGCCTTAAGTACTAATTCAAATCGGTATTTCCTAACACAAAGAGTGACAAATAGAGAGGAGTGTCACAACTTCTTGGACTTGGTGTCCAAATACTAAAACAGTAATACGGGATGCAGGACTACCTGGCTGCACCATCACAGGGGTTCGAATAATTGTCTTTCCTAGTGTGGACTGCTGGAGTGGTGTTCTAATCACAGTCATACCAGGACGGATCGGAGGCCCCGTGAGTACCTGTGAAGAGCAAAGGACAATGAATAAAAATTGCTACAGCAGGCGTAGTGGTGCACATCTTTAATCCCAGGACCCTGAGGCAGAGGTAGGCTGATATCTGGTCTACAGAGTGAATTCCAGGACAGCCAGGGCTACACAGAGAAACTCGTCTCACAAACAAAAATAAAACAAACAAACAAACAAAAAGAATTAAAACTGCTTCAAAATGGCTAAAACACATTGGTCTTACAACTCAAGTTCATTAACCATCCTACAGAGATGGCAGAGAACCAACACGATTATACGTGTGTGTGTGTGTGTGTGTGTGTGTGTGTGTGTGTGTGTGTGTGTGTGTGTGTATTTAAGACAGGGTTCTGCTACATAGCCTTGATTGCCCTGGAACTCACTATGTAGATCCACCCGCTTCGGCTTCCCCACTATCACATTGGAAATTGTATTCAGTGTTGGTATGAAGGTGGAATTTGAGGATAGAAACTTTAATTCACATGAACTATGAAATTTGCTGCCACTGATGACAAAAGTCGCTGGGAGCCAGCCAGACAGAAAGGCTCAGCTCTGTCACTGCTGCTCAAGGAAGAGGTCGAGTCCCAGAACCTGGGGACTGTAATAAATAAACACAAATCCCATAGCCTTTTCTAGCTGGAAACATGACAATAATGACCACATTACTTCAGTTTTATAGTGAGAGCTAGAACATTTTGACTTTAAAACTTTTCCATGATACTAGCACCAAAGAAATGCTATACCTCATATGTGCATGCATCAGTTGATATACAGTATATTTCTTTTTGTTTGTTTTTGTTTCTCTGTGAAACAGTCCTGGCTGTGCTAGACCTCGCTCTGAAGACTAGGCTGTCCTGGAACTCACAGAGATCCGCCTGCCTCTGCCTCCCGAGTGCTGGGATTAAAGGCGTGCGCCACCACCGCCTGGCTTCAATGTGTTCTTTTTTAAAAGATTCATTTATTTTATGTGCACTGGTGTTTTGCCCGAGTTTATCTGTGTGAGGATGCCAGATCCGTTGGAACTGGAGTTGCAGACAGTTGTGAGCTGCCATGTGGGTGCTGGGAATTGAACCTGGATCCTCTGGAAGACTGCTGAGTCACCTCTCCAGCCCCCAATCTGCTCTTTTTTTAATCAGAAGGAATCCAGATGAATTAAAGCAAAGATGAAGAGAACTCTTGCAAAAGGGGCGGCGCTTCACGAGAGGGTTGGCATTGGGAAGGGAAGCACCACACCCAGCGCCGTTCATCAAGTCAGACACAGTTTTCTATAGAAAAGCTTGGCAAATCGTCGTTACTTATGAACAATACCAATATGGAATTAACCAAATGCCAAAGCTAATACGTCGTGTATCATTTTTTATGTAAAGAATTGCCGGGTGGTGGTGGTGCACACCTTTGCCACAGGTCCCCTCGAGTTCCAGGCCAGTCTGGTCTACAAAGCAAGTTCCAGAACAGCCAAAGCTACACAGAGAAACCCCATCTCAAGGGAGAAAAACAAAACACTATAAGTATAAAAAATTATATCTATTTTTCCAAAATGGTACTTCATCACAAATGAAATCACAGTGAAGGAAGATGAACTGAACTGATGTTGAAAGAGGCCACAGGAATGTCCCCCTGATGTGTTCAACATTTCTCTGTCACAGAGAACTCCTAGAAGAGCACTTACCTGTGACGTGGTAGTGGTTCCTGCAGAGGCTGAGGTATTGGGCCTAATTGTGACTGTTGCAGTCCTGGGCTGGAATGAAGTCAAGGTTTGCTGACTTGGACCTGTTGTCGATGGAATGATACCCAGGACTTTCTGCTGTACCTGGACCACGCCTTAAAGAGAGATGAAGGAGACATGAACCACTACCCTTCAAGGAGAAGCATCAGGTGCTGCTCGGTGTGCGAGGAAAAACTACGTGTGGTGGGTTGCAGAGTGAGCTACACAGAATGTGAGACCTGACGACTGAAACCAGTGAGAAGGAAATGGAGTGATGGCGACAGCATGATCTGGCGAAGGTGAACTCAAACTCTGTGAGGTTCCCTTACCTCCTTGTGTTGCTGGCACATTTACAGCGACAATCTTGCTGTTTGCAGGAAGTGGCAGTTTGGTAATTACTTTTCCTGCCATAGTGACGGGATTGCCTGTAATTTGGAACGTCTGACCTGTGCTGGCAATGGTTGTAGCAGAGGTGGCAGCTGTGCTGGTGGCTAATGGGGTATAAGACATTTAATAAGCTTTAGATTTTAAATACCAGCAGCGCAGTGACTTCTAGGAAGGGCACCGATGCATGAAACGTGGCTCATTCTGTATTGAATGCAGCCACTGCTCTCTGCTCCAAGTGCACTATGTGGATACTGAAGGTGAGGACTGCAGAGAGAGCGCCACAAAGAGCAGCGATGACAACCGACTGTCACAGCCTGCCTGGGCAAGCAATAGCAGAAGCAGAACAGCGCTCTCAGGAAATGAAGGTTAGAATGACCCCTCTCCCCCACAAGGAAAGCAATGTTTCACTCATCCCGGCTCTACCTGAGTTGGATTGGCCTTGCTTCACCCACGTGGCAAAGGTTTGGTGGAAGTTCTTGTTTTGCTGGAATGTAACTGTGGCAGGAGACCCAACTTTGGTGGCTAGCACCATCTTCGTCCCAGGGGTGACAGAACCACTCAAGGGAGCCACCATCACCTTCTGAGCTGGAGAGACGGTGCTGCTTGTGCTGTTTGGTGGGGATGTGGTAGACGTGGCAATGACCGCAGGCTTCTGTTGCTCCAAACGTTTCTGAGAGTCAAGGAGAGGAGACGTGAACTCCAGTTCTATGTGATGCACCCCATTTTGCAGGATTTCCCGATGTTAAACCACCAAAAAGAAAGCATGTCTGTATAATTTATCCTGAATCCTGCATGAAGGCTCAATTCCCAAGTCTTTGCATCACTGCAAATTGTTCTCAATAAAAAATTTAAGCGTCAAAATGGACTATATAACATCTAGCTTTTGGAGTGAAAACCGATGTGGGAAACTCTTACAGAACACCTGCATCTCAGAGTCAGGGCAGAAGAAGAGGGGTGGGCCTGTTTCATGGTGCGAGCTCAGCTTATCCAAGCCAAAAGAGCATGATGCTAGTTTTTATTATTACTATTCAGGTTGGCAAACTTGTGAACAAGCTGTATGGAAATTATAAATAGTTTTGAGGCTCTGCTATTGTTTATTCATAGATAGGGTCTCATCCTGTAGCCAAAGTTGGCCTGGTACAAACTATATAGCTCAGTGTGATCTTAAACTTAGAGCAATCCTCCTGCTTCAGCTTCCTATGTACTACGATGACTTCACGAACTATAGAATTAAGTTACTTGAAATGCTACAGAGGGGAAAATTCATCAGACACCAGGGTTACTGGGGATACAGCTCAGTCAGTACAGTGCTTGCCTGGCATGCACAAGGCTCTGGGTTCATTATTTAGCACTGCAAGAAATAAAAATGAAAACACGGGGTTAAACTGGGTGTGTTAGGCACATTTATAACCCCAATTCTCAGGAGAACTTTCAAATTCAAGATCAGCCTAGATTACAGAGTAGGATCCACTCTCAAAAATCAGGCTGGATGTGGTGGGGCATGACTTTAATCCCAACACTCTGAGGCCGAGAGAGGCAGTTCTCTAGTCTACTCTGTATACATCGTTCCAGGACAGCAAGGACTACATAGAGAGACCCTGTTTCAAATAAAACAAAAACAACCAAAGCAAAACCGGTGGAGAAGACAACTCACATGTTTTTAATTCAAGAGTGGTGGGATTTATCCAGTTAGCTAGCCAACAGCGGTCGAAAGGACAACAGCACAGGCCTCCAGGAGAGAGACACCGGGGAGGGAGGACTGCCTTCATGGGCAATACCTCATCCAGCAATACACCAAATCAGAAAGCGGGCACTGGAACACTAAACACGAAGAACTGAGGCTCAGACCGCCTGTGCGCCTGGCCCAAGGACACGATGGACCTGGGATAAGCCAATTAAGGTAGGGGGGTTGCCTTGAATGTGAGGATGCCCAAGATACAGAGCAACACTGTGTCTCAAAACCACAAACAAGAGCTGGACATGGGGGCTCATGCCTGTAACTGCAGTGCATGGGAGAGCGGCAGGAGGACTACTGTGAGTTCAAGGGCAGCCAGGGCTACACAGAGAAACCGTCTCGAAGAAAACCAAACCAACCAACAAACCGCCAAACAAACAAGACCTGGAAGTGCTAGTCTAAAACAAATGAAGAAGTACCACATCAGCTTGTGTTGCAGAGATGACAAAAGACACCTATAAAAGCAAAGAGCAGCTGCGCGGTGGTGGCCTTTAGTCCCAGGAATGAGAGGCAGAGGCAGGAGAATCTCTTGAGTTTGAGGTCAGCCTAGTCTACAGAGCAAGTCCCAGGGCAGTCAAGACTAAACAGAGAAACGCTGGCTCGAAAAACAAAATAGAACAAGCACAGAGCAGAACAACTAGCCAGTTGCTATAGTAACAACCATTGCTTGTGATTTTCTGTAAGTTTCCATGGTAGAATTGAGCACATAACTCAAAAGTGCTATTTTCTCAAATTTTAAGTGAGGAAAAAGATGCATAGTAATTTGAAAAACACGTAAGATTTTCAAAACTGTGCTTTAGAAAATATGAAAAAAGAATAGCTTGAAACCTAAAAAGTAAGTGTTTTTAAAATATGTGCAGCTGGGGCTGGAGAGATGTTCAAGACTTATGAGCAATGGCTGCTGTTACAGGGACCAAGTGTTCCCAGCCCCTGGATAGTGGCTCACAGTCATCCGTAACTCCAGCTTCAGGGGACCTGATTCCCTCTTCTGAATATCATGGACTCCAGACATGCATGTGGTGCACAGACGTACACCAGGCAAAAGACATACACATCACATCAATATAAATGTATAGCTATGTCGACAATACTGTAAGCAAGCACATTCCGTCATCCTCTAAGTTGACATGTTCAGGAGAAGCAAGAATCTTCCCTTGATTCTCAGACAGAGTATACTGATCACCATATAGGATGCCAAACATCAACCAAGGACTTAGTGAGCACTGATTACAATGAACTCTGAGCCTTACTCAAGTTTACTTCTTTACAGGCTGCATTATCAAGTTCAGCAGGAAAAATTCTTTCTAGAAACTACTCAAAGAATTATAATAATAATCAGAAGGAGGATTTAACACCCTGCAGTCATGCGCATGAATTGCAGAACCACCGATTATTATACCACAGAGATATTTTCAAGAAATGAAACATGAGGTATATTTTAAAAATCCCATGTGAATGTATAATCCTGAATTTGGCTACAGAGGTCAATCTGTCCCCGCTGGCTGGGGAGGCCACGCTGGCAGTGATCCCACCTGCTGTCTGTCTACTGACCTTAGCCTGCTGCTCCACCGCCTGAGCCTTTTCTTTCTCCACTCTGCAGGGGGAAAAGGAGCAACCTATCAGAAACCGTTTAATAAATAAAATCTGGGTGACTTTGGCATCATACAGAAACATGGACTATTTCTTTTTTAAATGAACATTTAAGATATTTTAAGACTAACAAATGTATAATACTAACACACTAAAATTTAGAAACAGGACTTAAATAAACTATCCAGAAGTAGTACATAAAATCAAAAGGTAGAGAAAAATGAATCCAAATGAACTACAGCGACTATTAATGTGACAATCCACTAACTCTGAAGTGATGAAATCCTCAACATGACCAGGCATTAGCCGATTACCTCTCAGCAAAAGCCCTGATCTCCCAGAGTTCCAACTCCTCTTCTGCCACCCAGGTTTCAATAATAACAGGGCCGGTCTGCTTGGGTGTTTCAGGTCTCTTTGGCCGCAGTGCACTTGATCTAAGGCCTTTCCGCTGAGGTGTGGGTGTTTCTTGGAGAAAGAAATCAGAGTATTTTCAGCAGTATTGTTTTGATGGAGTTCTTCTGACATCTCATCGCATGAAGCATGGCAGTTGGCAAACTATGTTTTTTAATTTGAGATAGGGTCTGCCCAGGATGCCACCACCAGCCTTTTGTTCCTGCAAACCCTTCAGACCATATAGGCCAGTGGTCTACAGTGCAATTCTGAACCAAAGTGCCTGTGGGCAGGAGAGATGCCTCAGTGGTTAAAACCACTGGCTGTTCTTTCAAAGGACTTGGGTTCAATCCCCAATATCCACATGGCAGCTCACAACTGTGCTTAACTCCAGTCTAAGGTGATCCAATGCCCTCTTCACAACTCTAAGACACTTGGCACACACATACTTGGCACACACATGGTACACAGGCATACCTGTAGGCAAAACACCCACCCACATACATCATTAAAACAAGTAAACAAACAAAAAAACAATGTCTGGGGGCTACAGAGATGGCTCAGTGGTTAAGAGCACTGCCTGCTCTCCCAGGGGACCTGGGTTCAATTCCTAGGACCCACACAGCAACAGTTCACAACCATCTGTAAATCCAGTTCCAGGGGATCTGAAACCTTCATACAGACATATATGCAGGCAAAGCAGTGATACACATCAATTTTTAAAGAGAATCAGTGGAAAAACAAACAATGTTAAGAGCTACATGTTGCTGTGTTCCAATCAAACTTCATTTGTAAAAGCAGGCAGTCACCAAGGCTCATGGGTCCTGGCTCACCAACCCTGAGAAAGGGCTGGTGGGCCTTATACACCCTTTGCTCTGTCTAGGACTACTCCTCATTCCTTCGCCACATGTGACTAAGCAATTCATTGTTGAGACTCCAACACCACTACAATTTCTTTCAAAGAGTTAGCATTTCTGGGAGGCAAGTTGAGAGCTGGGACACCGGGGAAGGGAAGGGAGAGAAGGCCAAATTCCTGGCAATCCCCATTCCAGGGATCACTTGAGACTGCTTGTCCTTGGCCTGGTGAGAGTCTGAACAAAAAGGGGTGAGCTTGATGAAACTTCCTTGTCAGTGAAGAGGAAGGGGAGTCGTGTGAAGAGGACACCTCACATGTCCACCCAGCAGCTGAGGCAGAGGAAGGGCATCCCTGGTCGCACTGTGTGTGTCTGTTCCCTCTTCTTCCTTATCAACACTGCCCTTCTACCTACGCTGCAGCGTGGCACATAACTCACTATGAAACACAGCCATACTGTCTCTCTGCTTCAGACCGAGTGCTGAGTCTGGGCCACTGTGCTCAGATCGTGGGGTCGCAGTCATCCTCAACCTTTCCTTGCTTGAAAGACTAAAATAAGCCTAGAGTCCTTCACAGCTGAGCTGGCAAGACTTATTTCCCTCCATAACACTGAGGAGATAGTCTACATTTACCCAATATAAAAAGGGGACCCAAAAAGCTGACGAACATGCAAAAATCTCAAAGGAAGATTTAAAATACTGGGTCTGGAGAGATGATTCAGAGGTTAAAGAGCACTGGCTGTTCTTCCAGAGGTCCTAAGTTCAATTCCAGCAACTACATGGTGGCTTACAACCATCTGTAATGAGATCTGGTGCCCTCTTCTGGCCTGCAGGCATACATGCAGGCAGAACACTGTATACATAATAAATAAATCTTTAAAAAAGAGAGAGATTTAAAACACTGTACAGTAAAGAGGGATTGACACTGAGCCTTGTCCAGGGCCCAGAGGGCAATAGAGTCTGGGCCACAGAGAGCGATGGGAGACAGTGGCGGTGGCCATCTCAGAGAAGCTGCAGTCAGCAATGGAGCAGAGGGGGCACAGCTCGGCGGACAGCACAGCTATGATGGACGCACCCCAGAGAGGCAAAGCACCCCCCCCCGGGGGGCGGGGGGGAAGGGTTGTCCCCAGGATGCCCCTTGCGTCCGCGCTTCTCTCTCCTGCTTGCTGCTCTTGTGTGCCCACTGCGTTTGGTATGGTGTGGTGTCCACATGAAAGAATCCCACTGTATCTAGTATTGTGCTGTGGGGTATTATTCTAAAGAGTGTTGCATGTTTTCCTACTGCTTCGTTAACAATACAAAGATGTGTTACATTTGTTTGATTAAATAAAATTAACCTCCGGGCAGGAGGCTGAATCAGCAAGTAGCTGACAGGAAGTGGTAGGGAGGAGCTAAGTGTAGTGAGGTTTCTTTATTGGGGGCTGAGCAGAAGGATGCTGGGTTTTTTGGAAGATGCCAGCAAAGGGAGAAGGTTAGCTACTTGCTCTTTAACCTCTCTGAGTGAGCAGAATTCCACCTCAACCTTTGAATTGTGAGTTCTTTGGAGGGCTAGAGATCTGGATAAAATTTCCCTTGATAGCTTTGAAAGAGTCAGTGCCCAAGGGAATTCCATTCCCTATGCTGCGGCGGCCTAACTGCTGCTGGTAGCAGCAGGTTTGCAGTCTCTGATTAGGACATCAGATGCTTAAGGCGCAGCCGCTGTAAATAATAAAAAACAGTTAACAGTATACTGTGATTGTTTCGTGGGAAAATCCCCCTCCTCACTGCATAATTTACTTGTAGATCATAATGAAGATGATTTTCATAAAGCAATGAGGCTTAAGAGATGTGAGATTTGTCAAGGATGGAAAAGGAGAACAAGTTAGTTTCATACAATTACGTCCCTACACCAAAGTTAGGTCTGAGTTCCTTGGTCATGTAGTTTACAGAATTAGTCACAGGTTTTGGTGCGCGCCTTGAAAAAGCAAAGTTGTGAAAGGAAATTAAATGGCCCTATTGTGTGTAAAGACAAAAGACATATAGACGGTTAGCTGAGCACTTGAGCAAAACTTTGTAGAGTCGAAACAGGCTCGGAATCTGCTGCGCTGAAACCGCAGACAGCTGCCTGCCACCCAAAGGAACTGGCGGAAATATGCTCGGCTTGCTTAAACCTTGTCAATTAGTAATAAAAGAATCAGTGCTTTGGGATGAAGATGTTATGGTGGGAAAATTAATACAAAGGAAAATGTCTAACTACTTGTGAGCTTCTAAGGAAAACATGTAACTTGTGATCATAATGTGATTTCTTCCTGTGTAAAGATTTAATTTGTTTTCGGAAAATACATAGCTTGTGGCTGTGAGGTGATTTCCTTCTTGTGTAGAAATGTTTGTTTTAGGTGGTATAAAAAGGATAAGAGAAAAATAAAGAAGCAGAAGAGTTAGGTTTCGATGTCTTAGATAAGTCGTCGACTCCACATTTCCTCTCACTTTCTGAGCTGCTGGGATCAGCAGAGGTGGCCAGGAGTAGACCTGCACTGTCCATCTCCTGAGCTGCCCACTTGGTACCTGGACAGCACTTTTCACTGTGATAGTCCATCACCTCCCAGGACAGTATTCTTTCAAATGGGGGTTACTCCCCATCAACATTCACTAAAATGAACTATGAGTTAATATCAGTAAAGGTATGTATTTAAGGAGAATAATTTTCAAAAAGTGTTTCTTTGTGAAGACATCATTTTCACTTCCCCCACTTGAAATGTTTTATTTATGCATTTGTGCATGTCTCTTATGACTATATTGAATAGTTTGTATTAGTTTTTTTGTTTTGTTTTTTTATTTTTTATTTTTCCAGACAGAGTTTCTCTGTTTAACAGTCCTGGCTGTCCTAGAACTTGCTCTGTAGACCAGACTGGCCTCAAAATCATAGAGATTCACCTTGCCTCTACCTCCCAAGTGCTGGTGCATTAGTCTGAGCATTTTTATCATGAGTTTATACGCACATACATGCAGGAGTCCATGGAGTTCAAGTAACTGCCTCAGAGCCCCCTAATCTGGAGTTGTGAGGCACACTGTAGGTGCTGGGAACTGAACCTGGGTCCTCTGTAAGAGCAGCAGGGACTCTTAACTGCTGAGTCAGCTCTCCAGCCTCAAGTCTGCTTCCTGAAACAGGGTCTCCCTCTGTTGGCCAGGCAGACGTCTCAGCTGTTAGTCTCTATATGCTTCTTAATACATGAGTAGTTTGTGGTGTAAGGTAAGTAGTTCAACAGACAAGTACTAAATCTCAATTAATGGAACACATGGCCAAAAGGCCAGTGATGATATATTTATATTTTTCTATTTCTTACCTTTTGGTGCTTCTGGAACTCCAATAGGGCAAATAATCTTCCTAATACAATATTCAGAACGAATGCCGTAAGGACCCACATCACGCCTCTTAATTATTTCTGTGGTTGTGATTTCAGTTTCAGATGTCTCTATGGAAAGACGATAATACACACTGTGAGTAAGCATCTGAGATACAAAGAAACTCAGAACATGTAGCACTTGGTACTTCTTTAAAGATGTGACTCTGCAAATGTCCTCTCAGAACATCTGGCTTATTAATGAGCACAGCATCACTGCTTGATTACAAAGCTGAGCTTCTGCACCCAGAGAGCATGTGGGCGGTGCTGCTGTTTGTTTTTGCATTGGGGAATCTCACGCTGCTGTGTAGGCGGGCCATCCCTTTCCTTCTGATATAATACACAGCTTCCCTCTATGGCCCATTGCCTAGAACTTGACACCTAAGCCCAGGCTGGCATCAAACTTATGGCAATCCTTCCACCTCAGCATGAGTAGCAGGAAGAAAAAAAAACTGCAGTAAGGTCCAAGCTAACTCGCAGAGGCAGCACCCAGTCAAAGTGGTGCCTGAGGGCCCAGGAATCCCAGGTTAACTGACTTACACTCTGTGGTAACAACTATCATTTGAAAATTTGATGGGTCTATGTGTGCTAATTCACCTAGAATGTGAACCTTGCTCCTTAACCTTGATTTTATGGCACTCGGAAAACTTGAGCAAGGTTAAATTCTATAAAATAAAACAAGCATGTAATAAATTCAGTTGAATGGCACATGATTTGATTTTTGTGCAGTGCTAGGTGAGTGCTAAAGCCACGGATTCATTTATTGTTTCTTGGTTTGTTTTGGTTGAGACAGTTGCTCTAGCTGGCCTTGAGCTACGTAGAAGGAGCCCAACCAAGTCTCTTGCCTCAGTCTCCTAAGTAGCTGGCATTACAAGCCTTTGCTGCCAAGTCTGGCTACTTTTTTTTGCTACACGGCCTCATGTAACCGAAGATGGCCTTGAACTTTTGACCCTTCCTCTTTCAGCTCCTCAGTGGTAAGGTTTCAAGCATGTACCACCACAACCAGGTTATCCAATGCTAGGAAATCTAAACGGCTCCACATGTTAGCGCATGACCTACACACTGTAGCAACTAAGCTATTTCCTTAGCCTACATCTTTTAAACGTCAAGTCCAAACCCCCTTACCTGTCCGTGTGGTCCCTCCTCCTGGAGGAGCCTTGGCTGCCATGTCATCCCATCTCAAACTGGCCCATAGTAACCGTAACATCAGGCTCACTCCTGCTAAGGACTTGACTGTCTGGAGTCTATACCTGAAAGAACAACCCAGATCAACTACATATAAACATACAAACACACACTCACTCACACTCTCTTCTTCTCTGTGAACCCGGAGGACATGGTTCTGGTGCTCACTGTAACCGCAGTATTTCTAACACGGCTCTGTAAGACTGTGACATTACACAGTCTTTAACAGCTTTGAGTTCCTAGGATAACATCTTATATCATCTAGATTCATTCATATAAATGAATGCCATATAAATAGGTAAGTGTTTTGTCTTAAGATTAATAAGACAACAATTTATAAAGATTTTTATATCGATCTACTAAAATATCTGCACGAAAAACTACCAAGAAAAAACAAAATCGATAACCATGTTACTAAATATGAGAGGAGTCTTAAAGATAAAATCATGGTGAAATGGTTTTTGCTAAAACAAAGGAATTAAAAACGTTTATATTTTATCAAAGAGTAAAACAAGACTAAAACACTCTGCCAATGCAACAAGATCTTTTCAAACTAAAAGGAATTCTGTAGTCCATGTGACTCTTGAAAACAATTTCTGCACATACTATGAATACTAACAATGTGGGTAATTTTGGAATCCTAAGAAAGTTATTCCCAGAAATGCACAGTCCTGTATCAGAGTAGGGAATCTGAGTGTAAAGTTACTAAATACACTTTCCTTTTAAAAAGTAACACCAAAAGCACATATGAAAATGAATTTAGTCAATTTCAATGAGTATTTTATCCTGAAACGGAATTCACTGTAACATATATTAAAGCACCCCACGGCTGTCAGTTCCCTGTTAAGACCTTCATAAATAGATTCCCCTTTGGACATTCTCAAACTACATAAAGTGAACACACTGGCTGAATGCATCACAGAGGAAACCTAGACAGTGAAGGTAACTTCCTCCACGAACAGGCAAATGGGAAATCTTAGGACAATTCTGCACTGGAAAGGCGATGCTTTTTCTGTTCCTATCATGTGAGAAATGAACCTCTAGTCGAATGGTTCCTGCACCTCTGCCAATTTCTGGCTCCACCTATAACAAGTTTTCTTCATGTTAACACCCCAGGAAGCTTCGACCCTGAACAGAGCCTTTGAGATGCTGACTAGTGGAGGGATATCAGGGAGGAACAAAGTGTCTGTCACTTCAGGCCACGCCCCCATGGAAAGCCTTGTGCCATTTGGTGTGTCAAGAGAAAAACAAGCATTTCTCCCCCGCTTGTTCTCTAGGGTCAAACAGTAACTTCAAATCCTCACTCCGTCTGCCTTGCCTCACACACAACACCGTCTCCTCCCCACTGCACTGAGGACAGAACCCAAGGTCTTGGATATACCAGCACTCTGCCAACCATCAATATCCCTGGTCCCCAAAAGCAACCCTATTGTGAAATGCAGCTAACATCAGTGGATGAACACACCCACAGGCTATCAGTCTGCCGATTCATTCCCTCATTCATTCATCCCAACAACAATGGAGTGCTGCTGAAGGGTCAGGACTGTGAATGACGCTGGGAGAGACACAAAGTGTGTTAGAATCTACCTGGTAAGAGCTGTCAGAGAAGCAAGTACATAGGTCTGCCATAGTCTAAGGCATGTGTTCAATGGATGACAGTGTGGCTGACTGACTGAAGGCAAGGGACACACGAGAAGGAACAAAGTGTGTAAAAAGCACACACTTCTCAGACGCTACATCCTGTGTAGTTATTGCCAGAGGGAAGGGGTGGGTGTAAATGGCGATGGAGCTTGCATGGAGAAGAAAGCAGAGGTCAGAATGAGCTATGCTAGAGAGAAGGCTTAAAGAAAAGCTTGTAAACTCTCTACTAAGGCTTCCCTTCTCACATAGTGATCATCAGGTGGCGCACACTTTCCCCTCTCTTCCCTGCAGTAGTGAGCAGCATCCATCACTCACTCAAAATAGTCCCACACAGAGCTATTTTAGCAGGACCCCTCTAGCAGCTTTATGGAGAACAACTGCCAGTTAAAAATGACAGCGACACAGAGTCTTGTCAGGGAAAACGGATCTAAGGAAATGTACGTTCAGAGGATGAAAGGTTTTCCTGCAGCCACGAGATAAGTGTCCATTTTCCTGTAGCACTCAGCTTTAACATTACCTTAAAATATGTACCACGTGTGCAGCTGGGCCCATGTGTAGTCTTAATTACCTATGAGGCTGAGGTGGGAGGACAGGGGTTTGAGACCAGCCTGGGCTGTATAGCTAGACCCAGAAGAACCATCCCCCAACAAATAAATAAATATACATCAATAAATAAGAATCACACCATCAGCTCTCAGAATTCTACTAAGCAGCAAACACATGAGACTCAAGGGTTAGTATAAAAATGCACTTTACATGAATAGTTTTTGTAGCAATTTTTAAAAAAGTATCCTAAAATCAAAACAACACATATTTTTACCCATGCTCCCATTAGTCAGAAGTGACTAATTATTAAGTTAATAAGACTGTACAGTAAGGTATTTCTTTCCATTAAAAAATGAGACTGACCAAACAGATATGATCATGCTAGCGCATATCAAAATACTCTGAGTCAAGGCGTCTGCACCGCAGCCATGCACGCAAAGGCTCTGGTGCCCGTGAGGGTTGGGGCCCAGTGACTACCTTTCATTTCAGAACATAAGGAGGAGCAAGAGCAGCTCCCTGCCTGCCGGGGCATCTTAGTTCAACTACTGGTAGGTACGTAGTAACTTTTCCAGTGGGAAAGAAGTTACCTGCAGGACAGTCAAGGATGCACTTTGGGACCGCTCTCAATGAAGAAAGCAGAAAAGTGCAGAGCAATCCTACACTCCATGAACTGCAATGAAGAGTTCCTTGATTCCCTGCAGGATTCTGCAAATCCTTCATTGCAGGCCCTGCAGAGAAAGTGGACTTTTCAGCTGTCTCTAGTGCATGTGCCATGGAGTGATGACATCTTACTTCAAATCAATGATGAGGTATAAAAAACGTGCTCATACAAATGATGAGTGGTCACCACAGTAAATGAATTCCTTTAGAGAGAATTTGCATTTACACCGGTTTTGTGGTCTTTTCTGACACTACCTAGCTGACTATAATATAAAGGACATAAAGAAGGATGGCAGTAACGGAATCTGGAAATACTTAAGACACCCTGAAATGAAGTCTTAAGAGAGATGATGCCCTGCTCAGTAAACTGCTGGAATGACCATGGAAAACCAAATGTAGCCTAGACCATGCTGCTTTCCAAGCCTGATGTTCTTAATGCCTATGTTCATCCCTCTCAACAAGGGTGGAAGGTAGAGACAGAGACATGAAAAGGGACAGAACACAGACAAGCACGTGAAACGCACACAGCACATAAAGTGCTGCTTGGGGTCAAGAAAATCAGGTACTGGGCTTAACCTGGCCTCTGTGGTCACAGGCAATTACTCTATGTCTACAGGAGAACTTCTAGGCCTCCTTCCCAGTGAAAAATGAACATGAATTAACAACTGCCAATACTATGAACTTACAATGTGTTCTGCAAACATGGAGGCCCAGCATTCTTAAATAAGACTATTTCTGCATTTTAAGACAGTTCCTAAGGAAATTACAGTCTATCTTTTCTTACATAAATAATAAAGAACTCCAAAACATTTAACATGCAAATAAATTTTACTAGGAAGGGCTGACATGACAGGCTTTAAGAATTTACAGGCATGTTTTTATGAATCCCAGGAAGTGATCATCCAACTCTGTGGCTGTCTTGGTATAGAGCAAACAACATGCAATAACTTGAAAAGGTAGATATGAGAATAAGCTTGGCGTGTTCCTCTTGGCTCATGAAGTTAAAATGGAAATGAATGTTAAAAGAATCCCTTACGTTCTCGTTAAGTCCATGGCTGCTGGGTAAATGTTAGTACCACCCGCTGGCAGAGCTAGCAGCTTTCTGTATCTTTTCCATCACTAACCTGGCCACTACACATATGCTTCCCTCTCTTCTGGGAGCTCATTTTACTTCAAAATGAGACTTCAAAAAACTTTAGTTCCCCCTCCCCCAAATAACATATAAAGTACATACCTCCACGTGATACCAAAGGTTGGTCTAGGAGAAGGATATGGCCATATGTCCAGGGCAGGTTTTGCATTATAATTAAAGTAAGGGACTTCCCGGATCCCTCCTTTTCTGGCCAGCTTTTTCAAGTCATCATTGGGCAGCACGAAAATGCTCTTTTTGCTGCTCTTGGTAACAAACTTCCTATAGGACGGCAGGGCTGTTCCTGAACGGGTCTTCTTGGGTCTTGAGAACTTCATCAGTTTCACCTTGTCTCTTGTGGAGTATTCTTTGCTCACGGTCATAGAGGTCACCAGCGTGCTTCCTGCAGTGGTCAGGGAGTCCGTCACTGTCGTGGTCACCACAGTTTTGCTTTGCTCCTTTACAGAGATGGTGTCCATTCCAGTGTCTGGGCAAGGTGTGGAGAGCTTTGTCACAGTGGTGGTGGTAGTTGTGACAGTGGATCTGGCACAATTTTCTGTGGAAGAAACCACAGTTTGCTTGTCCCCCTTTGCTACCTTAATGACAGTTTTTGACTCTGTAGCAACTGTGGATGTCATCGTGGTGACTTCTGTGATGATTGTTTTCCTTTTGGATTCTCCATTGACATTCTCGTCTTTGCTGGAGGGCAGACCATTTTCATCCATGAAGTCATTACTAAGGTTAGACATCTCTTCAGAAGTAACAGGAGATGGGGTAACCTTCTTAACCTCTGGACTCTCTGTTTCCATATCTTCCACCTGATTAAATGAGTTGCTTTCTGGACAAGTGGCTGGGCGTATGGTTACCTGGGTACTGTCTGACTCTTTGGTAGACGGTAGGGTATGGAGGCTGTCTTGGTGATTACCTTTGGCATCTAAAGAACTCAGCGAATGTGAGTTGGTTTCAGAAGTGTTTTGTTCATTGAAATCTTCCATGATGATGTCACCGTTAACAAATGGCTTCACGGCAGATTCCTTAACAGCCAGTGACTTGATGTTCCCAGGGATGACTTTACTGATATTATTGACCTTTGGTTCAGCAGGACCGCTCACAACTTTACCTTCAGAGCCGTCCTTCAGGCACTGCCCCTTCAGGAACCCCTTAGCTTTACTGTCTTTGCCATTTATCTGAAATTTATTTGCCTTATGTCCTTTCTTTTCAGACTCTCGATTGTCATTATTCTTTCTGTCAGTGGTATGTTTTAGACTTATTTGGTCAGTGCATTTGTTAACTGGTCTCTCATCTAGCTTTTGGTGCTGACCTGTTTTTTTACCATTTGCTTCAGTTACCTTACCCTGTAGTTTATCTTCACAATTTTCAGTGGATTTAGGAACTAACTCACATTTTGACGGCTCCGAACTCTCCATGCCTTGGTCTGGAGTTATCAACTGCTCAGAGATACACTCATTGCTATTCTGAACAATCATATCTTCTTCACTGCTATCTTGAATAGACGTGGTATCAGAACTGTTTTCCAAAGTGCTATTATATTCAGAGTCACAACCTGGTTTCCCACCAAAGTCCATTGCTTTGGGGAAGGGCCGGGCATCTCTGTCACTGGTACTTTTAGGTACTGATGCTGGTACAGTACTCTTGGAAGAAGGCACGGTTGTGCTGCTATCTTCCTGTGGGAGTGGCTTTTTGCTCTTAGAGGTCAAAGTGCCAACATCCTCTGCACTGGTTGGTTTACCGTCGTCAATGATAAAGTCACTTCCTTGGGTTTTAGTTTGACTTAGTGCCAATCCCTTACTGGCAGGCTCAGAGATACTGGCATCTAGGGCACTTTCAGCAGAGTTCAGTCTCTGACAGTTTGGCCCCGAACTCTGAACAGAGGCATCATCTGACACTTGATCTTTTTGGTAGAGTTTGTTTGTGCTCAGACTAGGATCACTTTGTGAGCACCTCTGTCCCGAGTCCCCAGGGCTAGCCTGGCTCGGACTGGGGCTTTGTTCCTGTCTGAGCCAGTCACCCTGACACCCTTCGCTGGCCTTTGCAGTTACTGCTGATTCAGAGGGGCTTTTCAGAGCACTGGTGAGGGGCTTGCCTACTCCCTTCACCCCACTCTCCAGTTTCAACTTTTCAAGGCGCTGCTTCTCTTCCAGTGTGAACTGTCGAATCCGCCTTTCCAGGAGCCCGTCCAGCTTAGAAGATTTTGTTTTTTTTTTGTAACTAGTCCTTAGATGGAACCCTTCACTGACATTGACCACATCCACTTGAGTATGCTCCTGACAGTTTATATGGGACTCTGTTCTGACAGTATCATCTATCTCCATTGGTTCTTCCTTCAACGATTTGTCATTATCAGAATCTAAAACTTCTTTGACATCTGTGAATTAAAGACATTGATAAAAATGTAATTTTTATTCTGAAGGAATTTTACTCATGAAGAATTCTCATTTTAAAAAGTATCTACTATTGCTATTTTCATATATACAGGAAGGTCATGGACACTACTAAACTTTAAATGGGGTTAAAAAATAGATACATTTCAAATACTATATGATTCTATTTTTTGCTACCTAAATTGACAGGATTCTATAGTGGGAAAATGACTTAGCCTATGACAGGCTATTGAGTATATTATGTCTACAGGTACAGTTAGTTTCAGCTGTGCTGAGCTGGAGATACGTCACCAGCACTGGGAGGAGGCAGAGGCAGGAATAGCACGAGTCTGAGGACATCCTGGGCCACATAGCAAACTAACCTGAACAAAAACCACTTCTAGCACATGTGCTATCAGGCTACTATGAATTTAAAACTTCCGTTTATTTCTTTCACATACGTGTGTGTGTGTGTGTGTGTGTGTGTGTGTGTGTGTGTGTGTGTGTGTGTTCCCCAGTTCCCCCCAGATAGGGCTGGTCTGGAACTCACTGTGTAGATCAGGCCTGTGTTTGCAATGGTTCTTCAGATTCGGCCTCCTGAGTGCTACAATTACAGATGACTTATTTGTGTTTTTTTCATTTGTTAAAAATTTCCTTCCAGTTTTATTACTTATAAACACTTCAAAATTAGTGTTTGATTTAAGCAGAAAAGTCAAGACTTTTCTGGATTTGTGGAGAAATGACATGTGATCCATAAAGTGTGTCATGGAGTCAGTTAGCAATCAAGCCAGAAACTTTGTTTTTGTTTTGTTTTTGTGGACAGAGTCTCACTCAGTAGCCCCTGCTAGCTCAGACTCAAGTCAATCTTCTGCCTCAGTCACCTAAGTACTAGGATTATAGGTGCGAATCATCATGCCAAGCCTATGCTTTTGTTTCATGCATCTCTGTTTGTTTACGTTCCTGTGTATGTGTGTCTTTTCCAGTATGTCTCAGTTTTATTCTTTGAACCCAGGGCTCAACAATACAGCTGGTTTAGCTAGCGAGGCTCTATCTTCAAGTGCAGTCATTTCAAGCAGGCCACCAATGCCCAACCAGCATGTGTGTGGACTCTGGGAATACAAACTCCTAGTCCTCATGCTTAAGCACCAAGCCCGTTATCCAGTGGGCCATCTCCCAAGTTTGTTTATGTGTTTAAAAAAAAATGTTTAAAACACTTTTTGTTTATATGTCTCACTGGCCCTAAGCTTTCTCAAAAGCTAACATATCATGTTCCCATGCTCCCATACAATCTAACAACTCCACTCCTGGGTATACCACTAGGAAGTAAAACCCTGGGCCTACAGAAGTACTTGGGACAGAAAACTGGTGAGATGGCTCAAGGGTAAAGGCTTTGCTATCAAGTGTATGTGAGGTTCTGAGTTTGATCCCTGGAACCCACAAAACAAATAAATAAATTAATTAATGTTTAAAAAAAAATCAAAAAATTAGCTGGTTATGGTGGCGCCTTTAATCCCAGCACTCAGGAGGCAGAAGTAGGAAGATTTCTGTATATTCCAGGCCAGCCTGTTCTACATAATGAGTTCCAGGCCAATCAGAGTTACACAGTGAGTCTCTTTCTCAAAAAACAAAACAAACAAGAAACAAATCCTAAAACTGAAAGTGTTAGTGTTCATAACAGTTAGAAAGCAGAAACAGCCCAATTACTCACTGATCAATGACTGGGCAGATGCATTGTGGCCCTACCAATATAGTGGAGTATTCTTTGAAATACACTGCAATGTGGATGAACCTTGAAAACATCACACTGGATTAAAGGAGGTCAAGAGACTGCCTAATTTCATTCAAATGAAATGTCTAAAACAGACAAATCCACTAAGAATATACTGATGGGTTGGGATCAGAAAGCAACTTTCTTTGGCATGATGAAAATGTCCTCAAATTGTCATAAATGCTTACCAAGTCTGTGAACAACGACAGCCCTGACAGCTTACTGAGGTGAATAACCCACTACACCATTTACGCTCTTAGGAGACGGTGCGGTACCTTGCTGATGAACCTGCTCCATGGCACTCTCATCACCCGCCCCACCACACTGGACCCTGCTTACCTTGGTCCTTCTTCTCAGACACCTTAGATAGTTCCATTGCACTTTCATCTGCTCCGGCTGCAGCTTCTGCATCTTTTGCCTCACCTTTCTCAGAATCACATTCTGTCTTCATTTTTTTTGGACTTCGTGGACTTTTTCTTTTATCTGATTCATCCTTATTTTCATCTGTATTATTTTTGGCTAAAAAGAATCACATGTATGGCCATAGATGGTCTTAATATTAGAATTTTTAAAATAAGTTTCATTTTTGTTTTTTGTTTGTTTTTGTTTTTCAAGACAGGTTTGTAGCTCTGGCTGTCATGGAATTCACTCTGTAGACCAGGCTGGCCTCAAACTCAGAGATCTGCCTGCCTCTGCCTCTGAATTCTGGAATTCCTCTGCTGGAATTCAAGGCATGTGTGACCACCACCCAGCTTATTTTTATTCTTATTTATGTGTGTCTGTGTGTCTTTACACATATCTGTGTGCAGATGCCTGAAGAGGTTAAGAGAGGAAATCAAGATCCCTGCAGTTACAGGGGTTCGTAAGCTACCGAATGTGGGTTCTAGGAACCAAACTCTGGTTCTCTACAAGTGCTCTTAACCTCTGAGCCACCACTAGAGCACGACAGCCTCCTAATCGAAGAACTGAAGATAGCGCGTTTATAGAAAACCACCAAGTACTATCCAATAAGCATATTTCATTATGTCTAATTAAAAACCAAACCCAAATGAAGTACCATATACCTTCTTACATTTAAGTTGATGTCAAGTCCTGAGGGGCACTCAAGACACAATATACACAAAAGGGAGGCATTTTTGAGTTCTATGACTCCAAATGTTCTCATCTGTCATGGAAGTCTCTGTTCACTTCCCTTCTAGGTTTCTAGGTGTAATAGTACTGAAAATGTCAACTAGTGCTGAATATAAGGTCTTGGGGCAGGTGGAACCAAAAGAATCCAGATTTTGAAAAAAATTACATGGCTGAATATTTAAAAAAATTATTTTCTCTCATTTTTTCTTTAACTAAAATCCTACATATCAAAGCCTTATAAAGGTAATTTAAAAATCTTTAGAGTTTCTGGGGCTAAAGAGCTAGCTTAGCTGGTTAACAGCATTTGTGAGTTTTGCAGAGGACCTGGGTTCAGTTCCCAACACCCACAGCCATCTCTAACTTCAGGGCCAGGGGACTGAATGTCCTCTTTGTGGCTTCTGTGGGCCATGTATGTGTCACACATAGATACACGAAGGCAAACACTCATAAACATAAAATATAAATAACCTTAAATAAAAAAATTTAGAACTTGTAAATTAGTAAATCACAACAGTATTTTCCACATGCTATTAAAAATTTCATAAGGATACATTTATCTGAAATAAGATCAACATGCTTTGAAATTCTAAGAACTAATACCAATTAGAAGTGGTTCTATCAACAAGCCAACCATCAGCACTGGGAACGTTAAGGATCTCCTATCAGCTGTATGTACTACCCAGTAGCCTACTCACCTCCTACCAGGGGCTTCCTGTAGTTCACATTGGTATTGCCTGGTAATTTGGGAAGAAACCTATAAACGTGTGTTTTACTAATCCAGCTCCAGCCGCCGTACCCTGTCACTCTGTACTCCTCTCCTTTTTGTTTCCAAACCTGGAGAAATAAAATCACAACGGTTAAACAAGGTATTCATGTACTTGCCGCACACAGGCTAAGAATTAAGCAAGCTGGAACAGAGGTGGCAGAGTGGGAGGCATGCGCAGGCACACCTGCCTGGTGTCCCGAGTTCCATGCCCAGGACCCACTGGGTGAGAACAGGAGAACCAACTCCTGCCAATTAGGCTGTGACCTCCCTATGTGCATGTGCTCTGACACTCACAGAAATAGATAAAAGCACAATCATCAAAAGAATCAGGCAAATTCATTACATTTAGCAAGCAGTTTCCAGTAGGAATCTAAAGATTTATGTAAGAACACAACACTCCTACTAAATTTAACAATGTTTTTATTTTTATAACTAGTTTCAACAAACTGGTCTCAAATCCTAAGAGAAACCAAGCTCACAAAATGACAAGATGTGCTCACACCACCTTGTTAATTGAAGACTGTGACAAGGTAAAGTGAACGAGGGCATTGCCAACTCCGCATACACCCGCAGAGACGGCACACACGGGGCAGACCCCAGTGCCAGTTACCTGATGCTTCACTGGAAACGTGTATTTCACCCAGGTGGCCTGCTGCATGGTCTCCTCCTCCTCCTGTTTCTTCTCCTTCTTTTTAACCTTCTCTTTTTCTTCCCTTTCAATTGATGTCATCCTATGTAACCTGAGAATACACGGATTACAAAAAATTACATTTAATTTTGAAAAACAAAAAAAGATATGAATGTAATGCTGAAAACTAGGAAGAAAACCAGAGAGTGCTTAGTTAGAACCCTACACCTAGACACTCCCAACAGACAAAAATAAGTAGGTGTAGCATTCCCTAAGAGGAGAGCTCAGAGCAGAAAACAAACAATAGAAAGGAATAGCCTTTCCAAACAGGTCCCTAAAGAAACACTAGTGTTTTATTCTTGTAATGTCTCATGCACAAGCCACCACTACGGACACCCATGAGGAACCCACTCTAATAGAACTGACACCACACAAACAACTCAGACTCTGACTTTTAACCAGCAAATACAAACATTAGGAGACCTTTCAGGCCAGACACTTTTTTCCGCTTTAGGTGCTGGGGATTAAAGCACAGGGCCTTGGGTATTCTAGGCAAGCACTGTACCACTAAGTTTTTCCATATCACAACACAATTTTGTAATTAATAAAATTCATGTGCAGTAGCAGAAGCCCTTTATCTCAGCACACGGGAGGCTAAAGCAGTATCTTGAATCTTGAGTTTGAGGGCACACAGGGCTGGGTTATCCACTGAGGTGCCTGCCATCTCAAAGGAACCAACAAGGAAGCAGGCAGTCACTCTTCTTCCCACTATACTAAGAAGGCTTGCTGCCGTTCTTTCTTATCAACCTCAGCCTACACTTTCATACACTGCTCTCTAGGGTCCTCACAAATTGCTGGGCAGGGTGCCAGGGGATGCCTGTTCCCCGTCTCAGAACTAGGGAGTAAAGCAGGGTTACAGCCACAGCGAGACACAGCCTCAGGCACAGGAGCAGGGGAGGCCGCCACCAGCAGTTTCCACTGCGTCCGTTTGCATTTCAGAGGGCCAGCTCCAGCTCAGACACTGAGCCATCACTTTGACAAAGCAGATCCCTCTGCTGACAGTGACCAGGCGCCAGCTTGCACCCTCGGTTTCAGTCCACAGCCAACAGATCCTTTCTCACCACCAAATACAAAAGCTTCACTTTGCTTTGGTATAGTTCATTGTGATGTGTGCTGACCCTAAGTAAAATTCTATTGTTCTGGCCACCACCACCCAAGTCTGTATGGGGGAAGGCAGCTATACAAGTTCAGTCCTGTCTGTCGGGCAGAAAGCCCTGGACACTCAAGAGAGCCCCATCAGGATGGGACCATGTGAGCCAGCTGTCATTCTACACTACGCTGGGCTGACAGATTTTCCTTTCACCTCTGCATAGTCACCTGAGAGCCAGACATGAGAATGAACTGTCAGCTCCACACCCTAATCCCAGGTAGTGCCCATGACTCTGTGCTGCGGTATTACTGCAGCTATAACACACAACACTGTGTGTCTTTCATCCTGAACATAGGGAGTAGCCCTCCACCGTCCTCCTCAGTGATGGGATGGCGGAGAGCACAAGCTCCTGTACTTGAAATGCTGACGAAATGAAGTGAGCACAAGGCACACCCCGGCCTGTTGCCAATCACAAACCAACTGCTGCCCATCCCTTTGGAGCTGAGGAGCCAAACTGGGAGGGAGACAGGACCATTCCCCTGACTGCTAATTAGGAGAGAAGTCACCATTCCCTGTCTGCTAGCCTTTCACGTGGATTTCCTGCACAACGCCTGTCCAGTCCTTTGTCTCACATGTGCTGGACTATTAGTCCTTTGCCTTTATAAAAGGTCTTTGTCAAGTGAGGACATTTCCATTTGTGGTGCAAAGATTTCCCCTCTATTTTCCATCTCTCTTTTGAATTTGATTACAATAATGGTTTTCCACTTAGAATTTTAAATATGTGTGTCCAATTTCCTCCTCCATGGCACCTGGAGGTTCTGTTTAAAGAGAAAAGTATCAGAACAAAAATACAAATTAATTCATATTTTGTCTTTCTTCTATTAGCATTGTGGTTTGGTTTAGTTGTTTTTAATCTTCATCAATTTGATCTTTGGCTCAGGAAACATGTCCTCTTTGCTCAATGACATGCAGCTCCACGGCGGAGCTGCCAATGTCTTAAGGCGTATATGAGAACTCTCTGAGTGAACTGTACTGCTGCTTCTGACCAAGAAGTGTTGACAGCTTCAATGTTTTGTTATATTTTTTGAGACAAGGTTTATGTATTCGTAGCTACATGTAGCTCAGGCTGGCCTCGATCTTAATTCTCCACCCTCTACTATGTAAGAGATTAAATTCAAGGCTTGTGCACCTCAATCTAATACCTATTCTTTGTTTGTTTGTTTGTTTTTGTTTGTTTGTTTTGGTTTTTTCGAGACAGAGTTTCCCTGTGTAGCTTTGCGCCTTTCCTGGAACTCACTCTGTAGACCAGGCTGGCCGGGAACTCACAGAGATCTGCCTGGCTCTGCCTCCCGAGTGCTGGGATTAAAGGCATGCGCCACCACCGCCCGGCCCTAATACCTATTTTTTAATGAATATTTATTTATTTTATTACTTACTTAATGTGATCTTTGGTGTGAGAGCATGTGTTTGTTTATATGCACTTAACATCTGCAGGGACCCACAGAGGCCAGAAGAATACACCGGGTCCCTGGAGTTAGAGACAGTTGTTAGTCATCACCTGAGTGCTAGGAACTGAACTCAAGTCTTCTGGAAGAGCAACCAGTGCTCTTAACTACGAAGCCATCATTTCAAACCCTGTTTTTGTTGTTTGCTTCCTGAGAGGGGATCTTATATATCCCACGACGGCCTCAAGTTTCAGGCTAAAACTGTCCTTGTATTCCTGATCTACCTGCCTCCATGTCCCAAGTACTGAGATTGAAGCATGTGGCACCATGGCTGACTTGTCACTTTCTGAGCTAGGATCTTACTAAGCTCAGGTCATCAGGGTTGGCAGGAGCCTCTACTCACTAGACCCAAGATGTTAAAAGAGTATTTTATTCAGTTGTGTGCGTGTGTGTGTACACATACATGTGTGTTTGGATTATGAGTGCCTGAGTGTGTAGGCCATCAGGGTGAGCTCTCAGACCTTACCAGAGAAGTATTTCTGTGCAGTGGATAGGGCAGTTAACTCAGACATTCATAGCTGGTCACATACAGAGAACACATGTCTGTGCACTGCTCAGTCACAAATGGCACATCTGTATCGATTCACTTCCCCAGCACAAAAGAGGGCAAGAAAGATGCTAAGTACTAGAGGTCGGGGAGGACTAGACCCGAACAGCATCTTCTAGACACAGCAAGATCACTGCACTCATGAAACTACAGCAGTGATGACTTTCAACATCTGAGCACAGAGACTTTCCGGCCTTTCCCCCAAATCCCTGATCCCCACGTCCCAGACAGGGTCTTACCATGTAGCCTTCACTGGCCTGGACCTTGCTGTGTAGACCAGGATGGCCTCAAATTCACAAAACTCTGCCTACCTCCACCCCACAAGCATGGAGAGTACACCCAATTCAGTGTGTCCTAACTTACAGAGTTTTAGTACTTTAGTTTAGTACAGTGTTTTTCTATATAAAACTTTCAATTTCTTACCAAATTCTACCCCCAAAACACACAAGTGAAATTTTATAGTAACAGGACAAAAACTGACATCACCCAGAGACTTATTCTACTTCTCTTTTGCTTTTTGTTTTTGTTTTGTAGCCCAGGCTGGCCTCAAACTCAGAGATCCACCTGCCTCTGCCTCCCAAGTGCTGGGATTAAGGGTGTGTGGCACCACTGCCTGGCACTTTTTTGGTTTTAATTGCTTGGTTTGGGGACAGCCTTGTTTCTGTAGTCCAGGCCTCAAACTCAAGGTGACCCTGCTTCCCCAAGTGCTCCCATTACAGATATGAGCCACTATACTGAGCTTTAAATGTGTTTTATTTACTTACACATTCCTGTTTTGAAAATGAGGGGTTCTACCACTGGAGTGACCCAGCAGGAGGGCAGAGAGTTAGATTGACTCTTCGGGGTTCAAAGGTTACTAAGTAAGTGAGACACATTTGCAACACTACTTTTGATTGTTTGTTTGTTTAGACAGCATCCTGCAACTTGTGACCCTCTTACCTCAGCCTCAGTGCTGGAGTTAAAGGAATATGCAACCGCAACTTGCATTAACTACATAAATACATACATATGTTTATTTATTTATAGCTTCAAATTCTGGGAAAAGTCTTGTGCATATAGTCCAGTCCTTGTAATAATTTTTAAAACTTTTTGTTTATTTTCTAAGGTGTGTGTGTCTGTGGACTCAGGTATGCTTGGGCATGTACATGCATCTGGAGGCTGGAGGCAGACACAAGGGATCTAACACCTTATTTGTTTTTTAAGGACAGGGCCTCTCAACGAACCATTGTTTCAGCTAGACTGGCAGGTCAGAGAGCCTTCATAATTGGTCTATTTCCCAAATATCTGACTCCTAGCAGTGGGCTTCCAGGTGTGTGCCACCTCAACTGGAGGTGTGTGTGCTGGGCAGTGAACCTGAGTCCCCTGAAGGGCGGCGAGTGCTCTTGCCCAGACTTCTGCTGCTTGCTCTGCTTGCTCGAGTACACACCTCTGAGTCTGCTTGGTAGCTATGTGGTCTTTGGGCAGACAAGTAAGTGTACAAAGAAGCCTGATCCTTAGCATAGTGTTGGCAACATTCTGCAATAAATGCTTCAAAATTGTGACTTCTTGTGGCTGGAGATGGCTCAGCAGTTAAGAGCAATGGCTGCTCTTGCAAAGACCCTGGTTTGGTTCCCAGAACCCACAAAGCTAACAATCTGTAAATCCAGCTCCAGGGGGTTCTAACATCCTCTTCTGGCCTCTGCAGACACCAGGAATCCACATGATGAACAAACACACATCTAAGCAAAGCAGACACAGACATAGAGACACACACTCTTTCATTCTGTCAAAAATGTTTTCACTTGTAATATCTTTTAATACGCATGTGGAACTGACAAGATGGCTCGGGGGTAAAGTCACCTGTCAAGAATAAACTTCTCTCCATCTATTCATACCCATGGCATGCACAAGTCCACACACATATACACATAATAAATAAATAAAATTTTAAAATACTAAAAAGTATATTTGATCTCATTTCATCTTCATTACAGTCTTGCATTCTGGGAATTAATGGAGGTTGGGAAGAGATAGTTAGTCTTTACTGTGACCTCTTGGGCTTTTCCATGATCATTAATCATCTAGCATTTCAGAAGTATCCAATACCCATCAATCCCAAAGCTCAGAATTCACTCACCTGGTGTGTCCTAAAGACTCCCGCCATATTGGCAGCATCACAACAGGCTTAACAGCACACTCCAAAATTGCAAGAGCCAATGCAAACTCTCTGGGTTTACTACACATCTGAACGGCCTTGATCCAATTAGCCCTGCATTGCAGAAGGGAAAAATCATTTCATTCCACTGTTCTTAACTGAAAACACGATACCCATAGTCTACCATGACTCAGCTTCACAGCTCCAATGAGAAAGTGGTCTACGTGGCAGGAATATGTACACAGGCACACTGGGGGTGCCTAGCTCAGAGAACTGGAGATTTTATCCACCAGGAGTAACTCCAGCCATCACTCAGTCCTCTCAATTCCTTGACCTACAATATTCTTTACCTTTGGTCTCCACTTGACTCCAGGGATAAAATTCTGATACCCAAAGTTATCCTTGGATCCATTTTTAGGTAATTAGCATTTTTACAGCAACAGAAGAACTGTAGTTTCCTTTACCTGTGTGAAGCCCAATTGGGATGAAGAAAGGATGAAGGGATGTTGCTTTCTAGCTGCGTGATGGTGAGTCTCAGCGTAGATATGGTAAGGACTTTGGAGCCATGAACAGATCCATTCCATTTGAACTCCCCGGCTGGAGTGAGACAGAATTTATGTGCCAGGTGCCTCCTCTTGTCATGGTCTTCCCTGTGCTGGTGCTTATTCAGGGCAAAGGAGTTGGTAGAGTACTGATTGTGATAGACGCGATACTTCCCTTCTTGTCCCAGCTTAAAATAATTGTTGATGCTCCCTTTCATGACCACTTCCTTTTTGGTGCTCAACCGTGAAACTTCTCCTTGGGAGTTAACTACCAGCACCTGATGAGGGAAAAAAAGCTGTATTTGTGCCAAAGACGAAAATTTTGACTGACCAACTCTCTTTCAATAATTGTAATCAATTGTTCCTAACAATAGACATCTTATGACCAAGAGGTTGAAGTTGAAAAAAAAACGTGTGTGTGTGTGTGTGTGTGTGTGTGTGTGTGTGTGTGTGTGTGTGTGTGTGGTTACTTAAAAAGAAGAAAAGGAAAAAAAAAGCAGCTAAATTGAAAGTAAAGTTGGAGCTGGGCTGGGTGTCTATAGTGCCAACACTCAGAAGGCTGAGGCAGGAAGACTGAATTCAAGCCTCAGGCAGGGCTACACAGCAAAACTGTCTCAGAGCAGGGAACAGTAAGTAAAGACACTTGCCACACAAGTCTCGTGACCCAGCTTTAATCCCCGGATACCACAAAATGGTGGAATGAGAGAATTAACTCCACAAAGCTGTCTTTTGACACCCCTCATTAATCTGGGCGTTTGGTACACACATATATTTTTGAGTTTGAGGCCAACCTAGTCTACAAAGGGCTACACAGAGAAACCTTGCTTCAAAAAACAAACAAATAAAAGCAAAAGCTGGTCATTTATAACTAAATAAGGAAGACTTGACTGCAGAAAGAAGAGAGGCCTTGAGGACTAGGTTAGACACCACTGGGAATGGTCATGAATCTTAGTGCATGCTACCAGTCTATCAAACTCCCATCCCATCCCACCCCCGGGTTTCTCTGTGTAACAGCCCTGGCTGTCCTGGGTCTCACTTTGTAGACCAGGCTAGCCTCAAACTCACTGAGATCCGCCTGCCTCTGCCTCCTGAGTGCTGGGATCAAAGGTGTGCACCACCACCGCCCGGCTCAGTCTATCAAATTCTAACACATAGTTTAACAGAATAGGAGAGTACTACACACAATGATCTCTAAAAAAATAAATGGCTCAAAATCCTCTACTGCTGCTCTTTTCATTATACCAACTTTAGTTGCTATGGGGCTTGAGGTCTTTAAATTACTGTTTCCAAGAAGCCAGGCTCAGTCTTTCAGTGGACCATAAAATCAATACTGTTTATTTTTCTCCGCTAATGTAGAGGTGATGGGAGGAGGTATCAGGAGTTTAGACAGGGTCTTGTTATACAGCACGAGTTGGCCTGGTACTCAACAGTAGTACGGGCTTGCCTCAAACTGGCTACACTCTTCCCTGTTTCTGCTTCTTTAATGGTTTCACTCCTGCTTAACTACCCAGTAAATAATCACCCGAGAGACACAGCTATCATCATTCTGTGCCACAGCTGATCATGAGTAGAGATGTTCAGTGTCAGTTTCGATCATGCAGACAGCTCACTCTGCTCTACCAAGAGCTACAAGAGACAACGGTTCTTCTCAAGTGGTCACAGGAAATGGGCTACAGGTGGTCATGGTGGTGCACGCCTTTAATCCCAGCACTGGGAAGGCAGAGGCAGGTGGGTCTCTGCCTGAATTTGAGGCCAGCCTTGTCTATGTACCAAGGTCCAGGTCAGCCAGAGCTACACAGTAAGACATTATTTTAAAAAGGGGGGAGGGGGGAACTAACAAAGAATTGTATGAAATAAAGCTGACTCTAACATCATCTGCTCACTACTGAATTTCTAATAAATGAACTAAATTTTGGTGTATAAATTTATTTGCCATAATACAAGACTAACAGTTTTGCTCTTGGTACCCACTACAAGAAAGAAAACACAGCTGGGCGGTGTTGGTGCATGCTTTTAATCCCAGCACTCAGGAGGCAGAGGCAGGCGGATCTCTGTGAGTTCGAGGCCAGCCTCGTCTACAGAGCAAGAGCCAGGAAAGGCGCAAAGCTA